TCTGCATAACTCAGATTGTTGATACATCTTCCACTAATCCTGATGCCGCATTTCTCCTCGTAGAGCCTCCTGGATGATCTGTTCTGCATATGGGTTGAAAAGGTATGGAGACAGGACACATCCCTGGCATATGCCCTTTCCAGTTTTGAACCATGCAGTGTTTCCTTGCTCTGTTCTGAAGACTGCCTCTTGGTCCAAGTATAAGTTTCTCATTAGCACAATCAAGTGTTCTGAGATTCCCATTCTTCTCAGAGTCACCCGCAGTTTGTTGTGGTCCACACAGTCAAACGCCTTTGGTCAGAAGAAACTCTGAATATTGCACTGGAGCGCAGAGAAGCCAAAGCACAAGGAAGATTTCAAGATACTAAAGAGCTGAACAAAATGAAATAGTAGCACAAGAAAATATTTTGTTATACACACAGATTTGGAAGCCTCAGCACAGCTGAGAAATTGTTTGGGTTTAAGGTTTTTTTACCAAAAAAATAAAGGTTACAAAGGTAGATTTCTACTTGAAGAGTTATCACTGAACTTGTGCTGTTTTAATTGGACTATTTTATTGTAATTGTCATTATGATATTCGGAAGTGTCTAAGTTTCTCTCACAGGTAATAATATTCTCCAAAGGCACAAGAAGAAAATAAGTCCCATCAGCTAAGTATTAGTTGTGAAAAACGGTCTTTAGTCTTCTTATATTTTTCTGAAGCAATGATGCATTCAGAGCACATAATAGAACTTCCTTATAGTTTCAGTCCATTCCCAAGATTTTAGAGTTCATTTTAATTCCGAATTTTTTGTTGATACAGATCCGCCAAATGTAACCATGTGGTTGCTCATGTACTTTTAGAGTTTCCTTTGCATGCAGTTTTGTTTAACATAGGTCACAGTAATGGATCATTTCTAAAAATAATGGATTGTTTCCTGTTTCTGCCAACTGATTTGATCAGTCTGAAGTTCCTTGTGTACTATAGATTACATAAGTAGTATGGAATCTGTGTGGTATGTTTTTTGGTTTGACAGTAGCTGTATTAACCATTTGTATTCCTGAAATATTTGAAGGCATATTAATAAGCACAAGAAGGCGTCTTTTTCTAAAGTGAACTACAAGCTAGCATGAGCAAAGAGTTACCATAAGCACCTAAAGACTTCTTAGAAAAGATTGCTTTTGTTAGTTAATTGTTTTGGGTGATTGTATATTTGCTGGGAGGTAGAGGAGGAAAAAAATTATTTGTAACTTTTTAATGACCCTTTTCTGAAAGAAAGAATTATTAGTCAAAAGTTTTTTTGTCTTTAAATATTTTTCTAGGTGATTTCAGAGTACCAGCTTTCTTGTCACTGGGCTGTACTTTGTTAATGTTAAATCTTTACTGCTAGAAATATATTTGGTCTTGTTGAAGATTATTTTGGAGCAATATGGTTAAAAAATAGAAGAGCTTTTTAAAAAGATATTTCAAGTATAATCAATAAAAGAAATGTTAAATAGAAAAGGAGACCTTTATGTGATGCAAGTGGTTGACATATATGGCTGTTAATCAACATGTCAGAGGTTCGAATTCAACCACAGATGCTTTAAAAGAAATGCCTGGCACTCTGCATCTGAAAAACCAGCCATTGAAAACTCTATGGAGCTTAGCTTAGCTGTGACAGAGGAGGTCTCCATAGGTCAGTTTGAGTGATGACTGAATGACTCCTCACTCATTTGGCCCAGCACTCATGGATTCATCATGAGTCAGTGAAATTAGAACAACTACTTCACTAAACGTGGTATATTAATTCCAAGTTTCAGTAGTCAGGCCTTCAAAAGATGCTGAGTTGTTATTCATTAATTCTTAATTGTTAGGTGACTATAAATGATTGAGAGTCAGAATCCTCTCCTTGAAAATTAGCCCCAACAGCTAAACGTCAAGGTCATCCCCAGGTTGGCTGTGGGCTGTGGGCGAGAGTGCAGTAGGCCAAACTCCTTTTTCTGAACAAATCCCAAATCTGACTCTAGAATCTGTCGGTGAATTAGTATTGCATGGAAGAAACCATAAAATAATGAACTTTTCCTAATGTAAGAAAACCTCTCATTAAACTGTGTTTCTTTTTTGTAGGTAATCCGCTCCGTGATGCTCTTTCCAACAATTGAGCGAATGTCAGAGTCACCCAATGGCAGGATTGCCACCCCATTTTTGTGCTGGCTTCGCTATGTTCTCTATGCTATTGCCTACATATTATTGAAACCATTACCAGAGAATCTCAAGTCGTGGATAATCAGCATGACCTTTAAATTGAAAAATATAGCAAATGACTGTTTTTGCCCGAGCCTATTGAATCCGTTCTGTCTTGGTAAGTACATTTTAAAATGTATGAGGGGATTTTTTTCCCCCTTGTATCAGATAATGTTAATAACTCTAGAGTTGATGAATATGTTGTTGTTATGTTTCATCGAGTTGCCTACGACCCATAGCGACCCTATGTACAGCAGCTCTGAACCCTTCCCTGTCCTGAGCCAGTCTCACTAATTCTGACACACCAACACTTATTGCCACAGTCACTGTGTCAATCCATCTCATCCAGGGTCTCCCTTTCCTGAGAAGAATTTGTTTTTCCTCAAACAACAAAAACATAACTGAATGAAAATATATTGAGTAGAGTTTTATATAACAAATCTAGGAAAACCCCTCATCAAGCTTTAATTTTACCTATGCTTTTGATTCTCCCCTCTCACTACTAATAAATAATTCTCCTGTACCTAGTATATTTCTTCACTGGGGCTTTTACAGGAATCCAGGATGTGTCCTGCTATTTCAGTGGGAGAACATTGCACAGGAAGCCCAAGAGAGCCAGCCCCAGTATTCCCACAGAGTGCTGTGCTTTTGTTTTCCTCCTATAAATGGTGGGGGTTTAAAATTTTTTTTTCACTTTATATTGGTTTGCATACAAAATTCACATACATTATGTTTCACACATTCTTTAATTCATATTGTGTTTCATACCATAATTCCCACACACTGAGTTTTATAAAACCAATCTTAAGGGAGCTCTGGTGGTTTAGTGGCAAGACACTGCACTGCAATTCCAGAGGTATGCGGTTCAAATCCACCAGATCCTCTGCTGCAGAAGGAGGGGGCAATCTCCTCCTGTACCAGTCAGATCTGATTTGACGGTACACATAAAAATAATACAATAAAAATTAAAAAAAAAACAAAACCCAAATCTTAAATTACACAGCACAGCTCCCTACATACTAGACCACAAGAGCTCATTTGGAACCTGTAGGAACTCTGACATAAAAGAAAGAGCTAACATTTGTGTCACCAAAGTCAAAGAAGACACAGCTGAAAAAGTAAGAAAGAGTGACTGAAAAGTGTCCCATATTTTGGTAAAAGACATAAATCTGCTGATTCAAGAGACAGAGTTAACAAGACAGTGTGGACACAGGACACATTTTCTCACTCTGACCCAAAGTAGCCAGAATGAAGCCACATTATTCCCTGGGGATCTCTGGGAGTCCTTCCTCACACAACCACGTGGAGTTATACTTTGTACAAAACAGACTTTGAGCTAGATTGAATGCTCAGTGATATTTCTTCACGTCTGTTCCAAACAACCAGCTTATAAAAATATGTTGAAAAACTGTTTCTTTCTAACATCGTTTCTTTCTTTTTTTTTTTTTATTTTAATGAGCATTTACAGAGATTTTGGATTTCTGTTCATTCATTGTTGTACTTTTCTCCCCACCCCCCCCACCCCCAGTTCACTCTTCTCTTTGAAAAGTAAAATTCCTTCATTGGTATACAATCCCCCACCCCCACCCCCCAATTTCTTCTTGGTTTTAGATGTGGCTCTCTAGTATTTATATAACCATTACCTCAGTGATGTCTCTATTTGTAACACTGGGTAAAGGGAAAAGAGAGGACAGTCACCTTTCTTCTTGTCTTCATTGGGTTCTTAGTCCATTCTCTACTTGGGTAGCTAGTACATTCTCCTAGGCTGATCCTGAACCAAGAATTCCAGGCATCCTAATTCTCCTTCTCTGCCTGCACCGCTCTGAATCCACATTGCCACCTCACTTGTTCTCACTAGTCATCACAGAACCTGCCTTTGCACAGGTTTGCTCTGGTCATTCTTTAGACAACTTCTGTGTCCTTGCTTACTCGATGATTGCACTGCATCTCTATTATAAATGGTTGAAAGTCCGGACTTAGAAAAAAACAATGCTCATAAAACTGTAGCCTCGCAGGTGATTAGTGTTCTGTCTCCAAGCTAATGCCCTTGAATGGTGAAGGTAGCCAAAATAAGACCAGCCCCTTAAGTTAGTGGTGTGATTATCAGAGTACTTGAAAAGAAATGTTGTTGAGGGGAAAAAAATAAGACCATGCCAGAGGTTATTCTCTGTGGCCACATCTGGATATCTCGACACTCCCCAGAAGACTTTCTGCTCTGTAGCTTGACTATGATCCAGACCATGACCTTTGACTCACCAGCTTGAGCCGCAGAAGGCCTTATGGTGTTTACCCATTATGTAATGTCTGTGCTTCAGCACAAATCTTACGGAAACAAATGGAGGAAGCTTGCCAGTCTAAATAGCGTATATATAATAAATCCTGCCTTGTCTGGATGGAAACTGGTTTTCTGTGTCCTTTAGCTTATACTCGGGGGTGGGGGGATATTTTGTTTTAGCAAGTTCTAAAAAAATTCAAGAAAATGAAATATTAAAAATATTTCATGTTCTTTTACTATTATTATTTTAGTATAATGACATATTCTTATCTACAGACTGGGATTCTGTAGCCTTAGCATTCTTTTCCTACCAGTATGAGTGAAACATCATTTACTATCTGCTATTCAGAGGAGAATAATGCTAATTTAGTATGTCTTTTTTTAATTTTACCGTATTCATTAGTGCAGTTTGTATAATTTGACTGTTTTGAGTATTTTTTTAATATGTGGGATTTAATTTTGGAATGTTTGCTACTATGTGTTTTCTTCAAGTAGATTTCATCCATTTCGTGAAAAATGTTCTTTTTAATAGAGACAGCTAAATTAGATTTTCTGATCAAAGCTAAAAGCAAATATATTTCTAGCTCAGCAGTGTCAGATGTCAAAATAATTCCTTTTAAAAAATATCTTAAGGTAATTTTCATTAGCTAGGCCAAACTGATGTTATAATTCCTTTCAGTTACTAACTAGAAAAATATAGAGTGGAGATGTAGGACATTTCTAATAGGTTATGTTACTTTGTTGAATGTATTCTTGTTAAACAAACATTAATAAATTTTCTTTGCTTAATGTGGAAATACCTTTTTTAAAAAATTTTATTGGTTTGCATATACTCATTTATACAGTTTGTGGTTTGTACATGTACTTTTTATTCATACACATTATGTATTATATAATTACCATTGCTCTATGCCTCTTATCATCCAGTCTTTTCAAACCCCATTGAAACTTTCCCATTACTTCACGTCTCCTCTACCCACTAATCTCTGCTATCTCAGTAATTTTTACATGTTTTCCTTTTTCTGCCCCTACTTTCCCTTTTGAACATTTATATATCTTATTCAGTTATCCTCTTATTTTCCACAACAGTGGCCTTATGCAATATTTGTCCTAACGTGACTGAGACTTTTCACTGAACAAAATGTTCTCTAGTCTCTCCATGTTATATAGTATTTTACAAAATTATTGCTCCTCAGTGTTGCTTATTTTCATTTTGTGGGTGTACCACAATTTCTCAATCCATTCTTTTGTTGATGATCATTTAGGCAGCTTTCCATTTTCTTGTTATTGTGAATAATGCTACTATGAACATAGGTGTGTAAATGTCCATTTGTGTCTCAGTTCTGATTTCCTTGGGATATATTGTTAGCAGTGGAATACCTGGGTCATATGAGATTTCTATGTTTAGCTTTTTGAGGAAACGCCAAACCACCTTCCCTAGTGGTTGTACCATTTACAATCTCACCAGCAGTGGATAAGAGTTCCAATCTCTCTACGTCATCTCCAACATTTATTACTTGCTCTTTTGTTGAACTATGCTAATACTGCTGGAAAGAGGTGGTATCTTCTTGTTATTTTCATTTACATCTCCCTGGTTGCAAATGATTTTTTTTTTAATTTCCTCATGTATTTCTTGACATCTGAATGTCCTTCTTTGTGAAGAGTCTTCATGCCTTGCTATTTTGTGATTGAGTTATCGGTCTTTTTGTTGTGGATTCTGCTGCAGTATTTTGCTGTTGTATTCTATAAATGCTGGTTATGAGATCTTATCTGAAATGATGTTGCCAGATGTTTTTCACAGATCTGTGAGCTTTCCTTTTACTCTACTGGAGAAAGTTTTTGATGCACACAGGGTTTTGATTTTAAGAGGGTCTCATTCAATGATCTTCTCCAAGATGTGCAGTTTTTAATCACCTCAACATAGTGAAAATGATATATACAAAATCAAGAGCAAACATCTTTCTCAACGGAGAAAGACTAAAACCATTCCCATTGTGATCAAGGCTGCCCACTATCACCACCCTTATTCAATATTTTATTGGAAGTTCCAACCAGCTCAGTATGGTAAGAAAAGGAGTTAAGAGGCATGGCATCCAAATTGGCATACAGGTGGTGAAACTGTCACTATATGCAGATAATATGATACTGTACATAGAAAATCCCAAAGACTCAAAAAAAAACCCCAACCCTTTAGACCTACTTTAGTAGAGTGGCAGGATACAAAATCAAAATACAAATGTCAGTGGGATTTCTCTACCGCAACAAAGAAAACATGAAAAGGAAACTAAGGAAGCACTACCATTTACAACAGCCAACTGCAAGATTAAATATTTACCAGGGCTCCCTACTAACACTACAAAATACTACTGTGAGAAATAATAAGAGACTCAACTAAATGAAAAAATATTCTCTGTTCATGTATAGAAAGATTCAGCATAGTGAAAATGACAATCCTACCAAACACAATCTACAAATTCAATATAATCCCAATGCAGATACCAAATTCATTCTTCCAGGAGAAAGGAAAAGCAATTCCCAGTTTCATTTGGAAAGGCAAAAGACTCAAAATAAGCAAGGCTCTTATTGTGTGCTGTCGATTTGCCTGTGACTCATAGTGACCCGATATACAAGAGCCCTAAACCCTGCTAATCCTGCGCCAATCTCATTGTCTCTGACACACCTACCTCCCTTACCCCAGTCACTGAATCAGTTAGTCTCATTGAGGGTCTTCCTCTCTGAAAAACAAAAAAGTACCCAGTTGCAACAACAACAACAAAACTATTGAAGGCATCTCACTTCTTTATCTCAAAACCTCCTGCACAGCTGTAGTAATCGAAACAGCA